CTCCAGAGGAATCTTATATTTTGTGTATGAACAAGATTCTCACATATTCTTCTGCCTACACAAGAATCCTTAATAATATGTGCTCTTATGTCTCCTTAAGAATTCTTAATAATATCTTGTGTTCCTAGGTCTTCATAAGAATTCTTAATACTCTTACTTATTCTTATGTCTACACAAGAATCCTTAATAATGTTATGAGCTCTTATGTCTTCATAAGAATCCTTTGGTAATATTATGTGTTCTTATGTTTTCCTAAGAATACTTAATATTCTTATATATCCTTATGTCTACACAAGATCTCTTAATAGTCTTACATATATATATATATGCAAGAATCTTTAATGTTCTTAGGTACATACACTAAAAGGGGTCATGTTAAGGATATAAGTGGAATGCGGCTTCAGTATATGAGGGTGGGCAAGTGAATTCTCAGTAGGGTGGGAATGGAATGAAGAGGTGGGAAGTCTGGGGTTTAAGAGATTAAAAAGCTGTGGTGACAGGATTGCTGAATCAGATGATATTCCTATTTCCAGCTACTTAAGGAAGTAACACACTGTTTATCCGTTGTTAGGTGCTGTCAAGTCACTTGCAACTCATAGCGACAATATGTACAAGAGCCCTAAACCCTGTTCTATCCTGTGCCAACCTCATTGTCTCCAACACACCTACTCCCACTGCCGCAATCACTGAATCGATCCACCTCATCGAGGTCTTCCTCTCCTGCACCGTCCCTCCACTCTCCCAAACATGACGTCTCTCCCAAGGGACTGGTCCCTCCTTGCAACAAGCACCAAGTATATCAGATGAAGCTAATAATTAAGAACATTTTTCCATGTTTGTTGGCCATTTGTTTTCTTGGGTAAAATAACTGTTTTTGCCCCTGCCCGTTTTAAACGTGAATTTTTTTATATTTTTGTGTGTCTGTGAGTGGATGGGATATTGTAGCTAATGTTAGATGGATCTTAGCTGAAAGCAGGGAATACCAGAGGAATGCCGATCTGTGTTTCATTGATTATGCAAAGGCGTTTAACTGTGTGGATCATAACAAACTGTGGCTGACTCTGAGAAGAATGGGAATCCCAGAACACTTGATCGTGCTAATGCAAAAC